TCGACCCGAGGAGACCGCCCACGATCGATGCAGAAAGTCTGAACGCCGCGCGATCTTCGCTGCGCACGTCGTAGCGCTTGTAAATGTCCTCGAGGGCTTCGTCCACAAAGTAGTTTGCCGGGTCTATCTCCGTCCTCGACCCGAGGAGCCCGCCCACGATTGATGCGGGGAGTCTGAACGCCGCGCGATCTTCGCTGCGGACGCCGTAGCGCTCGTAAATCTCCTCCAACAGCTCAGGCTTGAAGTAGTCGGCCGGGTCTATCTCCGTCCTCGACCCGAGGAGCCCGCCCACGATTGATGCGGGGAGTCTGAACGCCGCGCGATCTTCGCTGCGCACGTCGTAGCGCTTGTAAATGTCCTCGAGGGCTTCGTCCACAAAGTAGTTTGCCGGGTCTATCTCCGTCCTCGACCCGAGGAGACCGCCCACAGTCGATGCAGGAAGTCTGAACGCTGCGCGATCTTCGCTGCGGACGCCGTAGCGCTCGTAAATTTCCTCCAGCAGCTCGGGCTTGAAGTAGTTTGCCGGGTCTATCTCCGTCCTCGACCCGAGGAGACCGCCCACAGTCGATGCAGAAAGTCTGAACGCCGCGCGATCTTCGCTGCGGACGCCGTAGCGCTCGTAAATGTCCTCCAGCAGCTCGGGCTTGAAGTAGTTTGCCGGGTCTATCTCCGTCCTCGACCCGAGGAGACCGCCCACAGTCGATGCAGAAAGTCTGAACGCCGCGCGATCTTCGCTGCGGACGCCGTAGCGCTCGTAAATGTCCTCCAGCAGCTCGGGCTTGAAGTAGTTTGCCGGGTCTATCTCCGTCCTCGATCCGAGGAGACCACCCACGATCGATGCGGGGAGTCTGAACGCCGCGCGATCTTCGCTGCGCACGTCGTAGCGCTTGTAAATGTCCTCGAGGGCTTCGTCCACAAAGTAGTCGGCCGGGTCTATCTCCGTCCTCGACCCGAGGAGACCACCCACGATCGATGCAGAAAGTCTGAACGCCGCGCGATCTTCGCTGCGCACGTCGTAGCGCTTGTAAATGTCCTCGAGGGCTTCGTCCACAAAGTAGTTTGCCGGGTCTATCTCCGTCCTCGACCCGAGGAGACCACCCACGATCGATGCGGGGAGTCTGAACGCCGCGCGATCTTCGCTGCGGACGCCGTAGCGCTCGTAAATCTCCTCCAACAGCTCAGGCTTGAAGTAGTCGGCCGGGTCTATCTCCGTCCTCGACCCGAGGAGACCGCCCACGATCGATGCAGGAAGTCTGAACGCCGCGCGATCTTCGCTGCGGACGCCGTAGCGCTCGTAAATGTCCTCCAGCAGCTCGGGCTTGAAGTAGTTTGCCGGGTCTATCTCCGTCCTCGACCCGAGGAGACCACCCACAGTCGATGCAGGAAGTCTGAACGCCGCGCGATCTTCGCTGCGGACGCCGTAGCGCTCGTAAATGTCCTCCAGCAGCTCAGGCTTGAAGTAGTTTGCCGGGTCTATCTTCGTCCTCGACCCGAGGAGACCGCCCACGATCGATGCGGAGACCCTGAACGCTGCGCGATCTTCGCTGCGGACGCCGTAGCGCTCATAAATGTCCTCGAGGGCTTCGTCCACAAAGCAGTTTGCCGGGTCTATCGGCACAAACGGTGCGACCTTGCACATGGGTAGCCTAAACTCAGCTCTCTGCTCGATGCCGTGCTTTTCGATGAGCATCTCCAGCGTCTCCGCATCGACGTACTCGGCGGGGTTGACGTCCACGAGGGGGGCGACATCGACTGCAGCCGCGCGAAACGTTGTGCGATTTTCGACGCCGACACCGTACTTTGCATAGAGCCTCTCGAGCGTCTCGCCGCTGAGGTAGAGTGCGGGGTCTACGGGGCGGCGCGACGACAGGATGGCGTGGAGGCCGTTGACGCGCCTGATGCCGATGAATGGCTCGGGTGCCAACTTGTCCATCGCTGGCGCCGCCACAAACCACGAGACGACGTCGGCGAGGGTTGTTGCACATCGCCGGGCGGCCATGACCCTAGCAGAGGTTGTTTTGGAGGCTGCGGTTGCGCACGGCTGGGCGACGACGAGCAGGACAAACATGCTTGGTGTGGCTCTGCCCGCGACGACAATGGCAAACGCAAGGCAGCCATTGCCAAGCACATGGTGCGTCTCGATGTGGTTTCTGCCCGCAAAAGCTCCCAGGTTGATAGCCACTGCGCATACGCCCGGCATCGTTTGCAGCGCCTTGACCAGCATCTTTCCGCCCTTGATGCTGAACATCAGAACCGTGCCGAGCTTGTCAGCAACCGCGACCAGCGCCGCGGCAGTAGCCGCCACTCCATCTTTCCATGCCGCCGCCGACGGCTTGGCGAAGCGCGACCGCTGCGACTCGCGCGTCGCCTCGTCGTTTGGGCACACGTCAGCGGTCAACACCAGCTCGTGGATGAGCACGAGTGCCTCCTGCGGAGATGCCTCCTTCACGCCGGTCATCATCATCAGCGTCTCGGCTACGACGGCGTAGGTCAGCGACAGCAGTCTCCGGTTGTCGGCTGCCACGTCCGAGTAGCGAACGATGTGCACGCATTCGGTGTCGACGTTAGACGGCGGGTAGGACGAGAGCACAAGCAGCGGCATCCGAGCTTGCGTCGAGCCTGTCGGCGCGCCCATCAGCGCGTCTCCACTCACTGCCTCCACCACCTTGGCCAGCGCGGCCTTGACGGCAATCGTTGCCTGCCGCGGCCCAAACGTCTGCGCCAGCTCCGCCCATCTCATCACCACCAGCTCCAGCTCGGCCGCGGACAGCCCGATCTCTGCGCCGCTGAGCTGCGCGAGCAGCATTGGGCCAGCCACTACGCGTTTCGTCGACGCCACCTGCGAGCTGTACACCTGACGGAGCACACTCGACGGGCCTGTTTGTGCAAAGGCCGCCGAGTCGTCGTCGCTGGCGTCGACGAACTCGCGATCCGCGACTACTTTGATGAACCGCTCATCCGCCTCTGCCACATCACACCCTACCATGCGCGCTCTTGTCACCTCGCGCATGGCCTTCTCGCGGCGCTCGACAGCCATCCTCGACCGATACATCGCCCGTGTCCATGGGAACCCAAAGAGCGCTACGCAAAACGCTCGGCAAGTGCAGGCTAGAGCGAGGATAGAGCCCGTGTCCAAGTCGGACGCCTGGTACACCATGTACGCAATGAGCGAAGCAGCCTCCATGCTCTCGGGATGGCTGAACATGCGTATGTCGAGCATGGTGGGAGCCGCAGTGCAGTCCAGTGTATTACGACGAGTCGTTGCCTTGCAGCCAAGAAAATATCGCCCAAGAAAACACCGCCAAACACCAATGCCATGCTGTGTGGACGTGCGCGGCAGAGTTCCACCACTGACACTGCTGCTGTCCTGTTTGCTCCTGTTCTTCAGAAGCTGCTGGTCTGTGGAAGCGTCTCTTCATTGTGTGTGGCTGTGTCTGTGTCCGCGGGTGGGGTGGGGGGGGGGGGGGGGAGGTACGTTTGGGAGAGTTTTTCGCCATAATTCCAAATGCCGCATGCGCATGCCTGTCAGCTTGCGCCTCGGCTGCTAGCTCACACACACATCCACGTACTCCATCTGTACACCCACCCCGCTCGTCGCCAGTCCACACATCACCACCTCTCGTCCATGCCGGCCACGGGTAGCGGCAATCGACGCCAAGCTCTCGCTCGCCGTCTCCTACAACGACCCGTATCCCGCCGTCCGTCGACCGCTGGGCAACGTGATGCTGCGGTACGGGCCGGGCATGCGCCACCGGATCTTGAGGCGCTGGACCACGCCGTGCGGACCGGACCGTACATGGCCCATGCTGCGTTGTTGGCGGCATGGACCGACAAGGCGCCTCCCCCAAGAGCGGCATCGTCTGTTGGGCAGGCCGCGAGGCTGGCGACGATTTGTTGATGGCCACCGTCTCCAACGCGCATCGCAACTTGCGGCCGTGAGGCGTTCATCAAAGGCGCGCACAACATGGCGTTCTTCGGCATCGCTCCGCCGGCGTACGCGACGCTGGACCACAACGGCCCGCGGGCCCATGTGAGCGCCGCAGCCCGAGCGCGTCTGGAACCGCCTCCCCCGCAGCTGCAACCGCCTGCTTGCGCACCACGTAAATGATGGTTTTCATCATCAGCTTGCCTCCCGCTTGGCGCCGACGAGGTAGACAATGGCGAAGACGAGGAGAGGCAGCGCCGCGCCGACAACAGCGACCGCGGCCATCGGCGCAGCGACCGCCATCGCCGCCAGAGCTGGGACGAGAGGCGCGAGGATGATGGCCGCAGCCACCACGGCGACGGCGATGCATGCCTTCTGGACGGGAGCGGGAAGGGCCGTGGTGAGGGGGAGTACGCCTGCGACGGCCCCGATGCCGGCGCTGCCCGCGGTGGCGGTGACTGCGATGCGCCTGAACGCGGGCCGCGATGAGGTTGTTCACGTCGCTGATGATGTCGTCGCTGACGAGGTCGTCTTCGACTCGGCGGGTGCGGGTGCGGAGCGGAGGCGGGGCATAGGGGGGCGGTCGGGAGGTTTGGTATGTGTGGCTGAGAGAGTGATGTGCGTTGTGGCCACCATGGGTGAGGAGCAGCCAGCCAAAGCCGGACAGAACTGGTGACATGGTCGAAGAGTTGTTCCTCTGGATACACTCGTCGCCATGGCACGTGTGCGTGGTGACGACGAGCTCGCTGGCTGCATGGGCGGCTGGTGGTGCTCGGTGGACTGGCCGGCTTGAGGTCACTGACGTCGCGAGTGTGGAGGCTCTGCGTGGCGATGGGCTCATGGGGCTGGGGAGGTTGGGCCTGAGCGGGTGCACGGGTATCACGGACGTGGGCTCTCGGCAAGCTCACGGGGCTGGGGAGATTGGGCCTGAACGGGTGCACGGGTATCACGGACGTGGGCTCTCGGTAAGCTCACGAGGCTATGCATGCTGGACCTGAACGGGTGCACGGGCGTCACGGGTGTGGGCTCTCTCGGTAAGCTCACGGGGCTGGGGAGGTTGGGCCTGAGCAGGTGCATGGGCATCACGGACGCGGGCTCTCTCGGTAAGCTCACGGGGCTGCAGTGGCTGGACCTGAACGGGTGCACGGGCATCAGGGACGTGGGGGCTCTCGGCAAGCTCACGAGGCTATGCATGCTGGACCTGAACGGGTGCACGGGCGTCACGGGTGTGGGCTCTCTCGGTAAGCTCACGGGGCTGGGGAGGTTGGGCCTGAGCAGGTGCATGGGCATCACGGACGCGGGCTCTCTCGGTAAGCTCACGGGGCTGCAGTGGCTGGACCTGAACGGGTGCACGGGCATCAGGGACGTGGGGGCTCTCGGCAAGCTCACGGGGCTATGCACACTGAACCTGAGCGGGTGCACGGGCATCACAGACGTGGGGGCTCTCGGGTCCGTGGACGCTGTACCTAAACGGGTGCACGGGCATCACAGACGTGGGGGCTCGCGGTGGGCTCACGGGGCTGCAGTGGCTGGACCTGAACGGGTGCACGGGCATCAGGGACGTGGGGGCTCTCGGCAAGCTCACGAGGCTATGCATGCTGGACCTGAACGGATGCACGGGCGTCACGGGTGTGGGCTCTCTCGGTAAGCTCACGGGGCTGGGGAGGTTGGGCCTGAGCAGGTGCACGGGCATCACGGACGCGGGCTCTCTCGGTAAGCTCACGGGGCTGCAGTGGCTGGACCTGAACGGGTGCACGGGCATCAGGGACGTGGGGGCTCTCGGCAAGCTCACGAGGCTATGCATGCTGGACCTGAACGGGTGCACGGGCGTCACGGGTGTGGGCTCTCTCGGTAAGCTCACGGGGCTGGGGAGGTTGGGCCTGAGCAGGTGCACGGGCATCACGGACGCGGGCTCTCTCGGTAAGCTCACGGGGCTGCAGTGGCTGGACCTGAACGGGTGCACGGGCATCACGGACGCGGGCTCTCTCGGTAAGCTCACGGGGCTGGGGAGGTTGGGCCTGAGCAGGTGCACGGGCATCACGGACGCGGGCTCTCTCGGTAAGCTCACGGGGCTGGGGAGATTGGGCCTGAACGGGTGCACGGGCGTCACGGACGTGGGCTCTCGGTAAGCTCACGGGGCTGGGGAGGTTGGGCCTGAACGGGTGCACGGGCGTCACGGGTGTGGGCTCTCTCGGTAAGCTCACGGGGCTGGGGAGGTTGGGCCTGAGCAGGTGCACGGGCATCACGGACGCGGGGGCTCTCGGCAAGCTCACGGGGCTGCAGTGGCTGGACCTGAACGGGTGCACGGGCATCACGGACGTGGGGGCTCTCGGCAAGCTCACGGGGCTATGCACACTGAACTTGAACGGGTGCACGGGCATCACAGACGTGGGGGCTCTCGGCAAGCTCACGGGGCTGCAGTGGCTGGACCTGAACGGGTGCACGGGCATCACGGACGTGGGGGCTCTCGGCAAGCTCACGGGGCTATGCACACTGAACTTGAACGGGTGCACGGGCATCACAGACGTGGGGGCTCTCGGCAAGCTCACGGGGCTGCAGTGGCTGGACCTGAACGGGTGCACGGGCATCACGGACGCGGGCTCTCTCGGTAAGCTCACGGGGCTGCAGTGGCTGGACCTGAACGGGTGCACGGGCATCACGGACGCGGGCTCTCTCGGTAAGCTCACGGGGCTGCAGTGGCTGGACCTGAACGGGTGCACGGGCATCACGGACGCGGGCTCTCTCGGTAAGCTCACGGGGCTGCAGTGGCTGGACCTGAACGGGTGCACGGGCATCACGGACGTGGGCTCTCTCGGTAAGCTCACGGGGCTGCAGTGGCTGGACCTGAACGGGTGCACGGGCATCACGGACGCGGGCTCTCTCGGTAAGCTCACGGGGCTGCAGTGGCTGGACCTGAACGGGTGCACGGGCATCACGGACGTGGGGGCTCTCGGCAAGCTCGCGGGGCTATGCATGCTGGACCTGAACGGGTGCACGGGCGTCACGGGTGTGGGCTCTCTCGGTAAGCTCACGGGGCTGCAGTGGCTGGACCTGGGCGGGTGTACGGGCATCGCGGGTGTGGGGGCTCTCGGGTCCGTGGACGCTGTACCTAAACGGGTGCACGGGCATCACAGACGTGGGGGCTCGCGGTGGGCTCACGGGGCTGCAGTGGCTGGACCTGAGCAGGTGCACGGGCATCACGGACGTGGGGGCTCTCGGCAAGCTCACGGGGCTATGCACACTGAACCTGAGCGGGTGCACGGGCATCACAGACGTGGGGGCTCGCGGTGGGCTCACGGGGCTGCAGTGGCTGGACCTGAACGGGTGCACGGGCATCACGGACGTGGGGGCTCTCGGCAAGCTCGCGGGGCTATGCATGCTGGACCTGAACGGGTGCACGGGCGTCACGGGTGTGGGCTCTCTCGGTAAGCTCACGGGGCTGGGGAGGTTGGGCCTGAGCAGGTGCACGGGCATCACGGACGTGGGGGCTCTCGGCAAGCTCGCGGGGCTATGCATGCTGGACCTGAACGGGTGCACGGGCGTCACGGGTGTGGGCTCTCTCGGTAAGCTCACGGGGCTGGGGAGGTTGGGCCTGAGCAGGTGCACGGGCATCACGGACGCGGGGGCTCTCGGCAAGCTCACACGGCTGTGCATGCTGGACCTAAACGGGTGCACGGGCATCACAGACGTGGGGGCTCTCGGCAAGCTCACACGGCTGCAGTGGCTGGACCTGAACGGGTGCACGAGCATCACGGACGTGGGGGCTCTCGGCAAGCTCACACGGCTGCAGTGGCTGGACCTGAACGGGTGCACGGGCCAGCTGCAGCTGCTTCTCCACGGGACTCAGATCCAGGTCCGCAATGAGGTGTTCTATCTTCTGGAACGTCATCATCGACGACTTGAGCATCCTCACCGGGACGCGCACTTGCGCGCCCGAGCTTGGTCGCCGCGCTCCAGGCCGCGCGCCACGTCGCGGGCCGCCCGCGCCTGCCGCGCCGACATCCTAGCGTCCGCCTCAAGGGCCGCGGCCCGAATCCATGACCGGTCCGAGTCCTGCAGCCGGGCAACCACCCCCATACGTGCCCGGCCCATGAACGCCATGTACGCCGCCGATGCCGACGGCGGGACGTTCGCCGACCGCGCCTCGGCGCGCAGTTCGTCGGCCGCCGCACCCAGCTCTGACACGTTGAGCTCACTCCTGCACGTCGGCCGGGATGAGACCGGCGCCAACCGAGAGTCGTCACCGTTGACGGCCGAGCCGGCCGGCTTGATGATGCACTCGGTCATCACGTAGCGCGACTGGTCGTCGAGTGCCAGCAGCACCTACACACGCCCCCGGCGTGTTGTCGGCGACAAGCATCTCCGCGCCCGGCGCATGGCGCAACCACCGTCGACCGCTCACCCGCCGGTACCGCGCGCGAGATGGCGTCGGCGACAAGCATCTCCGCGCCCGGCGCATGGCGCAGCGTCAGGTCGAAACGGGCGAGGCCGCTACCTTGGCCTGCCAGCGCGCGTCCAGCGTGCCCACCACCGGGACCTCGACAGGCTGTACCAGCACGTCATTGGCATTGTCAATCTCGTTTTGGCCCGGCTTCCGCCGGTCGCTGCCGCCGTTGCGGCTGGCTCGCCCGGCGCGCCCGTACCCAGACCACCCCATCGAGCCCCGCCACAGCCCTTCCCTGCGCCGACGTCACCTGCTTAGCTTCCCAGCCTCCTGGTCGCTGGGGAGTCTCACAGGGCTATGTACGCTGGACCCGAGCGGGTGCACGGGCATCGCCATTGTTTCTCACTATACTCTCGGTCACACCCGTGCTTCCATGCAGCATGTACGAAAAAAATCAGAGCAACCACAGTGGCGCACATGATGGAGAACAGCTTGTATATCAAGAGGAGCAGAAGGCAGCCCTTGTACGTACCCTACGAGGGATACGTTTATTACGAGACAAGGACGACCGTCGGCAGGAGGTCGACGACCAACAACTACATGCTGCATGTAAGCACGGGGGTGACCGAGAGTTGAGTGCCCGCCGTCTTCACATGGCCCATAGCCCCCCACACGTCGAGACGGCGAGCTATGGGTCGCCTCCCTCGACGCCGTTGCCGCTGAGCCCCGCCACATCGACGTCACCACGTTCCTTGACGATCCGCTTGGTGACTGCCGCCTCCCTCTCCTCATCGACGACGTCTACCTCCCGCCGCGCGCTCGGGCTGGGCCGGGCGTCGTCATTGTCGGAGGGCAAGCCCTCGTGCTCTGCCCAGAAATGGGCCGCATCAACCTCGTCCGTACTCGGGCCGCATCGACCTCGTCCGTACTCGGGCACTCGGCCTTGCGCATTTAGAGCTGGCAGATGTACACCAGTTGCATGACCGAGTACGTGTCGACCTTCAACCGCGTCGCGTCAGGGAACCGGGTCGGGAGAGCCGAGTCTGTGGCCAGGAAGCGGTCGATGTCGGGCGCGTACGACGCGCCGATGGCGTCCGTCAGCGCATACCCAGCTCGTGGTAGAAAAGCACGGCTCCGGCCCGTGCTGCACGTCGGTGGCTAGCTGCGAGTAGGTGCGCGAGGAGGCCGGCGTACTGCATGGGCTTGCCCATGATGCGGGCAATTGTGGTCTTGCCGGACCCAGCTTGGCCGGCGATGAGCATGTTGGGTGGCGGCGGTGCGTCGCGAAGCTCGGCGACGGGAAAGTCAGCAAACGGTGTAAGCGCAGGCCAAAACGGCTCGCCGTCGTGGTGGCCGTCGGCGTGGAGCGGCTGACGCGCCGATGCCGTCCAGCTGCGGCTTGGGCGAGCTCGTGTAGTTGAGAGTTGGGCCAGCGGCGGCGGATGGGAACGTCAGACCAGTCCTTGCGGACGGCGCTATGGTTCTCGGGCGCGAGGAAGCGGTCGCAGACCCGGCTCGCCCGGCACGCGAACTCAAAGTGCCTTGCTCCATCATGTAAAATAATTCCCTTCACACCCCACAGTGAAACAGCCCACCACTACATATATGCCTCCATAACATCGACGATCCGCTCATCGTCACACAGATGTTCTTGTAGTCGAAGATGGCCCGAGTAGCTGCCTTGCTGTACCTCTCGACTAGCAGAGTCGCGGAAGGGCCGCGCCTCGCCTGCTGCGCAAACGCCGTGCGCGCGCCTTCTTGGTCCCAACGCGACCGCCTGTACTTTTGCAGAATAACATCCACAACTTCATCACATCGTCACGGCTCAGTCCCGCACTCGGTTCTCCACATCTCCACCACTTCCGGGACAGCTTCGTTCTCGGTGCGCGCAAGCTGGTCATGGAATGCAACCGCAATCTTGCTCGCAAAGCGGCCCCACACCTCGCGGCGAACCCGCTGCATCAACGTGTCGCTCGTTCTGTCGCCGTACAATGCCTTGGCGTAGCAGCCACACAACTCTCGCAGTTGCTCTTGGCTCACCTCGGTCTCAATGAGGAAAGCGAATAGCGATGTCTCTTGCTCCGCAAAGTACTTGACCTCGCTTCCGATTGCCTCCAAAGCGGCTGTGCCCGCGCCAGACGCCTGGTCTGAGTTAGGCCAACTTCAAAAACTCAAGGAACGTTCCTCGGCTGAATGTGTGGGTCGAACGGAAGGAACGATCTGAATGGAACGAATGGCGGCAACTTCGACTTCCCCGGCACCATGCACATAGCTCCTGTGTGCATATCGAGTGTATCTGATAGTGAATCTGGGTTCTCTGAAGTCGAAGCATGCTCGTGCGTATCTTCGTACTCGTACTCGTCCTCGTCATGCTCATACTCGGGCACGCTTGACTCGAGCACATCTGTTGCATCGAGTGCTGATGGGGACGTAGATATGATGATGCTCCTTGAAATCATGTTCACAACCAACCTTATGGTCTACAAGCTCCTTAGTGGCCGTACTTCTGATGCGCCCAATCATCGCAGATGCCGCCGTGGTTTGCATTGCCTACTTGGCTTGGTGAATCTGACGACGATGCGGACAGTGACAACGTCCTGCTCTCCGCATACAGAACAATCCGCAATTGAAACATGCTGGGAGCTGGTTGGGACTTTAGCCAATGTGTACGGCACCGGACGATGGCGGAGGAGAACTTGCCGATCAGCTTGGTGAATCTGACGACGATGCGGACAGTGAAGACGAGGACGATAGCAACAGCAGCATCGACGCGTCGACTTGGCCTGAAGATCCGTTGTTAGCCGAAAGCACCTTCAGAGCTTTCAGCAGTCGTCGCTTGCGACGCTTGCGACGCTTTCGTTTGGACTTGCGCTTGCGCTTGCGCTTACGCTTACGCTTGCGCTTGTTGTCAAGCCCAGTCATCATCATCTCGACCAGTTTGGTCTGATGTTCCATGAGCATAGTCATCATCTCGCGCTGACTCTCGCGATCACGCTCGGCCTCCTCGCGATGTTGCTCCATGAGCGAGAACTTCGACGGGCTCACCTTTTTCATCGGCATTGCCGCGTCCTTCTTGTCCTGGCCAGCCACCACCGCCTTGTGCCGCTCAAGAATGCGAATCGGAGCCGCAGCCCGCCTTCCTTCCTCGGAGGAGTATCTCTTGTGCACTTCTTCGAGACCTTCTGCTTTGAGGCGACTTCCAATCAGCATGTCGTCAGTGACCACTCCTTCGGCAGCCATGGCCAAGTCCATCGCGTTGAAATACACCAGAGTGGACGTGGGATCTTCCCCGGACTTGGCCATGCGAGCCTTCTCCGATCGATACTTCTTCTTGAGTCGACAGAATTGGGCCTTGAGTGCTTGTTTGGAGAGCGACTTCTCGGCATAGATCCCTAGGAACATGGCCGTGATCTTGTCCCAGTTCGGGGGCGAGCCCTGGTTGCACCCGCCACACTTGACATAGGTAGCGATAAGAGTGATCCGCTCGTCATCGGTCCATATTGCCCTTCTAGCCCTTTTCCCCTTCACGCCAGCTTCCATCTCAGCCTTTGCTATCTGCTATCTGCGGCTGGGACTTCATCCTCACCGCGACCGCCCTTATCGATAGCAGCGCCGCTGCCCTCAACCTCGCCTGGCATACCGCTGGCGTCGTTGTCAGAGCAGCCACCCCGTTCACCCACCACACCGTCACTCGACGCGCTCTCAGCAGCGACATGGGTTGGAACATCCTCAAGACGTTCAACAATATCCTCAGTATTGTCCACAACGTTCCACTGTGTCCCGCCAGTGGAACGAAAATCGTGGAACGCTTTTTTTTTTAAAGTTGCTCTTAATCTCTTGCATGCCGGAGCCCATATGCACCATCGTCACAATCGCATCAGACGGCCGAGTATCCTCCCTCTGCCATCTGGTGGAGGCGGTCTCGATCATGCTGAGGACTGGGTACGCGAGCTTCACCTCCCGTGGCCGGGGGTGCACCCGGTGTCTTGAGCAGGCCGAGGAGCGTGTACCACCAGGAAGGGGGGCCAGGGGAGGAGCCGGCACCCTGGGCGCCAGGACGCAGTCCGTCTGGCGCCCTTGCACATCCTTCCTCGTGGTCAGAAATGACCCGCCAAACGTCATGCGACCGGAGTCCGCAAGGGGGTGCGGTCTCATTCGAAGGGGGTTGACCGGCGGTAGGTGCACCTACCGTTTGTCGCCCCCGATGGTTGCGGTCAGGGATCCGTCCCTAAACGGCGCTGCGAGGTGTGGACGGATCAGCGGGGCGAGGGCGCATGCGCCCTGCTCACGCTGATCCTCCTAACCCCCCATGGGATGTGTGTCCATCCCGCCGTCGGTCCGCCGACGGCAACCAGTGTCGTCACATGTTGTCGGCATTATCATCCATATTGCCAACCTCTCCCTGGTGGACCGCCGGATGCTCGGTGGTCCTGAGCTGCAACCAGGACAGAGGCCGGCCTCTTGGAGGGTGGGATCTGAAGGAATATCGGTCGTCGGCGCCCCAGTGAGGGATTCCAAGTGACTAGAGTATCCTGCAGTCGATGTTGAGCACCCAACAAGTTGTACGCCGCACCACTTACGGATGTCCTATGTGGCGGCCGTCTTCTCGCCGTAGTGTGATCAGTGGTTCGCGGTACTTAGGGCCGGCGTACAATCCCACGGCAGGTGGCACCCTGCAGTTCCTGTAGGTGCTTCTCTGCTTAACTCCATGCAACAACTCTCCAGCACGTGATCTGGAACACAGGAGCTCTCAACAGCGCTGCTGTGTCTCGTCCATTGTCAACGCCATAGATAACGTCTCTCTAGTCGCCGAGGCCACAAAATCTCGCCGTAGTGTGATCAGTGGTTCGCGGTACTTAGGGCCGGCGTACAATCCCACGGCAGGTGGCACCCTGCAGTTCCTGTAGGTGCTTCTCTGCTTAACTCCATGCAACAACTCTCCAGCACGTGATCTGGAACACAGGAGCTCTCAACAGCGCTGCTGTGTCTCGTCCATTGTCAACGCCATCTTCAACGCCATCTCCAACGCCCATCTCTTTACCCCCCCAACACGCCAGCTTACCCCCTTTTTTCGCCCCCTTCCCCCCTTCCCCCCTCTTTCTGGACAAGACCTCCTCCTGCACCCAAGATCCGATGCAACCTTATCGGGTCGGAGACCCCCTACCGTAAGGTTGGATAACTAACCCCTGCACCCGTGCAGGGCGCCATAATTGTTCTAATCGGCCCGGCTCACGCCGGTCCGATCCACGTCCTGACCCCTACCCAAGGCCAGGCCCCAAGTCCAAGCGCTTCATGCGTATGACGAGGCTCACGAGTAAGTTGGCGCCAGACGGGCCCGGACAGTCCCTTTCTACGGTCGGGGGCTTCGTCCGACGTTCGGTTGGTTGTGGACCCTCTAGTCTATATCATTAAACTGATTCTCACACACGCGAGCTTCACCTGCGCCCACTCGTCGTCCGAAACCTTATCCACAGACTCCTCCGCCATCGAGCAGACCTCGTCGATCTCCTCGCCCATGTCGAGCATGCCATTGACCATGGCAACAGTCGACCCCCACCGGGTGACGACACATGGCCGCAGCGACCGCGGCCGACGGCGTGGCCTGACTGGAGGGGCTAGCCGTTTGTACTTGCTGACCTCGATCTTGTACTCCTCCTGTCCCAACTGCTCCTTCTTGTCCATGATATCGTCGACGTGATGGACGCGGCGCTCATCGCCGAGGCTAATGGTATGCATCCGGAACAGCTGCGGCTGAAACGGGCCGAGCTTCAGGTGGCGATCGAGGGTGGTGAGGGATACGATGTCGACGGCGATGAGGAGGCCGAGGATGTGTTGCGTTCGTCAGATGACGAGGCTGTCCTTCGGGCAAGCGAGAGCGACGTAGCGCTTGACCTTACTCGAGCGCTCAACGAGGGCCACAATGCGACGACCCTTTGACAGAGGATCCGCGCCACCATCGAGAGGGGCATTGGGCAGGCCTGAGTGCATCAAATCGTCGACGACGACGTCATCGTTGGTAGCACCGGGCTCTTTCCGCTTGCCCACTGGCGCAACTGGTCCGGGCGCCGACAAGTTGGCTCCGCTGAACGGACCTGGCGTTGGACCGCTCGAGTTGGCCTCCATTGGCTCGGTCTCGCTACCCCGAAACGCTTGTCTCCGACTAGCTCGAGCATCTTGTCCTGCATCATGAGCTCGGGGCAGGGCTCGGCTGCCGAGCCGAGGTGGCGGATCACCATGCCTGCGATGAGGTTGATGCAGTGGGATAGGCAGGGAAACCAAGGCAGTCCAAGCTCACCCGCCATCCACGCCATGACCGACCTACTGTCAGTCGCCACGCCGCAAACACGCCCCACTCCACTCCCATCCGGTCCGTGCATTCCTTCACCATACTGGCCAGTGTGGTCGCATTGGTAGACAGGTGATCCAGTGCTTCCGCTGCTACGGCGCCCGATGATGCCTCGCTATCCAAACCAGTCTCCTGGATCGCGAGCATAGTCTCAGGCGTGAGGGCACGAAAAGCAACCGGAACGGTTACACGCTCTCCATCATTATCGCAGAAGGAGGCGCACATGCCGAGAAATGACTTGTGTGTCGCCTTGGACGTCCACTCGTCGACATACAGCACAACAGGTCCGGACTTTGTCAGATTGACGACGGACTGGCGGCACCGCTCAAACAACCCATCAAGGCCAGAATAAATACAAGCGCCCTCTGGCGGGTCGATTTTAGGCACTGGAGCGCCGCCCACGCGTGGGAGCAGGCCCTCGTCCGGTATGTAGCGGGCGAGGTGGGGGAGGTGGGTTGCGGGCCAGCGTCTCGGGACCACACCAACAACGACTGCCACTGCGGTCGAGTCCCCGCGGGCTTGATCGAAGGGGCCGAGACGACGATGACAACGACGGCCATAACGACTATGATGCAGACGATGTTGGAGAGGATGGCACAGCACCAGCAGGTACAGGCGGAACAGATGGCACAGCACCAGCAGGCACAGGCGGAACAGATGGCACAGCACCAGCAGGTACAGGCGGAACAGATGGCACAGCACCAGCAGGCGCAGGCGGAACAGATGGCACAGCACCAGCAGGCACAGGCGGAACAGATGGCACAGCACCAGCAGGCACAGGCGGATCAGATGGCACAGCACCAGCAGGCGCAGGCGGAACAGATGGCACAGCACCAGCAGGCACAGGCGGAACAGATGGCACAGCACCAGCAGGCACAGGCGGAACAGATGGCACAGCACCAGCAGGCACAGGCGGATCAGATGGCACAGCACCAGCAGGCACAGGCGGAACGGATGGAACGTCTTCTCGCTTTCGTCACAGCCCCAAAAGAGCATTACTACACAGGAGGCGAGGTCACGAGGGAAGAGGCAGTTGCAGTTCCCGGCGCTGACGACAATGGTGACGATGATGGTGATTTACCCGGGCCGCTGGCTCCGAGGCTTTTGCACGGAACGTGGGTGCGCGGGCGAGATCGGCAGAGCCGCGCGCGAGCGTCCACCGAGGGAGCTCACGGGGGGGGGGGGAGGCTCGCATCTGGGCCGGAGAGCGAGGAGACCAAATTCTTGCGCCTCCGTGGAATGCTTGGATGAGTCGACTGCATGGGACGAGTGTTCTGACTCGGTTGAGCGCCCGATGCCGATGAGACGGTCGAGGTGCGCAGCGAAGGCGAGCAGCGCCCAGCAGAACAAGAAGAAGAAAACCAAGAAGAGGGCAAAGAAGAAGCGGAAGACTATGATTAGGAGCAGGAAGTCCAAGAAGACGAGGCCGTGCAGTGACACCGAGTACTCTTCGGATGACGAACCGTCCGACTCGTCGCTAGCGGATCTTTGGCCGGGGTTTGCGCGTCCGACAACGAGGTGGAGCCGACAGCATCAGACACGCGGATCCCAGCCGCGGTCGCACACACGCCTTTTGCCGCGGCGGGGCCGTCGCGCAACGAGGTGCGCCGTCACATCCAAGTCCTCGGCCCCATCGAGCGCAACGACATCAAGAAGGCCGATTGGTATCTTATCCGGATTGCGCTGCGACGGGCGGCAGGGATTTGGGCTCCGGACAAAACGAGCACGAAGGAAGCCTTCACAGCCCTCTTCAAGGCCAAAGTGTGTCGACCGCTATCTGGCGCCTGCACAGCGGGGCGCACGGGACGAGAAGGAAAACCGTCCGGTCCTCCGAGCCAGGAGAGAGGGAACCGGCACCACAAGGCCGATGGGCAGGCCCGAGACGAGGACGTGCCACAGCTGCGCAAAATCGGGCCACCTCGCCGCCATGTGCAAGAACCCAACCTTCTGCTACCATTGCAAGGGCGACGGGCACAACTCTCTCAACTGCCCGAGCAAGACAAAGGCGTAGGCGGGATGCTTCCCGGTCGTCTGTGCCGATGCGGCGAACAGGCGTGGCGTACGATTTTAGACGAAGGATCGTGGCCACTTCGACGGCTACCCGACGGCGTGATGATGTTCCCCAAGATGAGCAGGACGCTTCCAAGACAGGGACTGCCAAACATTTTCAAGAACGCCGAGGAGGACGCTTGGGCCCTGCGCCAACTGCAACGCTTGGAGAAGGGGTACGGAGTAGTGGAAGAGTGTGCGTCAAGCGATGTGGTGCACGTTTCGCGCGTGCGATGCATACCCAACGAGCCAGGCGGCAGAGACGAGAGGCGCTTCCGGTTGATCGTGCGGATGTGCAAACTCAGCGAGCGGTTCGGCAAGAGACGGTTCAAGATCAACGACTTTCCGACAGCCATCGACCGCGACGTCATGAGATGGTACCGCGCCACAATCGGCATTCGGTTGATCGTGCGGATGTGCAAACTCAACGAGCGGTTCGGCAAGAGACGGTTCAAGATCGACGACTTTCCGACAGCCATCGACCGCGACGTCATGAGATGGAACCGCGCGACGATCGGCATTCGGTTGATCGTGCGGATGTGCAAACTCAACGAGCGGTTCGGCAAGAGACGGTTCAAGATCAACGACTTTCCGACAGCCATCGACCGCGACGTCATGAGATGGTACCGCGCCACAATCGGCATTCGGTTGATCGTGCGGATGTGCAAACTCAACGAGCGGTTCGGCAAGAGACGGTTCAAGATCAACGACTTTCCGACAGCCATCGACCGCGACGTCACGGGCTGGTACCGCGCCACAATCGGCATTCGGTTGATCGTGCGGATGTGCAAACTCAACGAGCGGTTCGGCAAGAGACGGTTCAAGATCGACGACTTTCCGACAGCCATCGACCGCGACGTCATGAGATGGAACCGCGCGACGATCGGCATTCGGTTGATCGTGCGGATGTGCAAACTCAACGAGCGGTTCGGCAAGAGACGGTTCAAGATCAACGACTTTCCGACAGCCATCGACCGCGACGTCACGGGATGATGGTACCGCGCCACAATCGACATTGGCCACGTCGCCTTGGCCGACGACGCACGCCGGTGGTGCAGAGTGGAGGTAGGCGGTCGCACCTTTCGCTACAAAGCAATTCCGTTCGGATGGAGTCTCAGCCCGTGCATTTTCTGTGCGTTGACGAAGCGCGGACGCCATCTCGCCAAGCTCGATCGCGCCGGCGCGCCACTCTGGCAACCAAGCCTGGGAGCCGCAGTACTAGGCCTCCATCGAGCTAGACAACGCGACATCAGTGTGGCGCGGCCGCCACTGGTGGCAACCCCTCGCCAACGACCAAGAGTGGCGGCTGGTCGACACAATGGCTGCGAGCCGGACCAGCAATTGGGAGGTGTGAGAGTTGAGCCGCAAGGGCTGGCGACTACCGCTTTGGATCAAGCACAAGACGTCCTGACCAGATGGGCAGAGAAGCAGCTGGCCAAGACCACGGTTCGGCAGTACCGGCAGTGTTTGGAAGCGGGGCAGCGACCAGGAGGGCTCCAGCTTCCCCCTTCGGCAGGTGACGTGACCCGTTTCATCGCATGGGCAGTCGAGACACACGCGCGACCGGACAAGCACCTCGGGGCGCTCAAGTGCTGGTGTCGACGTCACGACGTGCCGTGGCAGTGGGGAGAGGGTAGGTTGGAAGCTGCAGTGATGGCCAAGGTCAAGTTGGGCAAGAAGGAGTTGCTGTAGTAGTCCGTATCGACAGTTGCGAATGCCTTCAATGCTGTACTACTTCGAGCGTGAAATCGGCGCGGTTTTGACTCCGCGACGACTTCCGCTCGAACCCAATGGAGCCTCGTTGCCTGGCAACGAGTCGGAGCGGTAGCAACAGCTGCAACACAGATGGCCACTGAGCGGTAGCAGGAGTTTCGTGCGAGACAACCAAGGGGAGCGCGTCGCGCACCGAGCCGACCGTTGCTGTGGGCAGACATTGCCAACTACTTGGGAGCGAACGGGGATGATGGGTCGGCGGAATGGGCGGCACCTGCCGCTGTGCTGACGTGCGGCTGGCGATCACTCTCGCCGGCCGCGGACTTGGCCCAACTCGCTGAAGCAGAGATAGAGCTCGTGCATGACGGGGTGGTGATCTGGAACCGTTTCCACAAGACGACTACAGCAGGCCTGCGGACAGTGCGGATCGAAGTTCATGCGGTGAAGGATGCGCGGTTCTGCCCGGTGCGAGTGGTGCGAGCGTGGTGGAAAACGCGGCGGGGTTGGCGTCCTTGTGCTACTCGCGTACTACGCGAGGACTCGAGTGCCGGGCTATGCCCGCAAGCGGGGAATCAGTCAGGAAGAATGATGATTCATTGAAGCGGCTGGCGTGTAGTCGAGTGCCGCACCGCCGCGGCGTTGACACGCTGAGAGACGCGCCGAGCGGCGAGCACATCCTCTCCGGTCACGGCATGTTGCGTCACTGGTGAACACGGTAGCAGAGACGCAGTACGGTTCTGGTGCCGGGTTTGGCGGCCACTCCTTACCCAAGGGTGGAGCGCAAGCCCTGGTGACGAACCGTGCCCGCAAGGAGGAGGTGATGGCCATTGGTGGTTGCGCGACCGTGGCGGCGTTGATTCGGTATTGGGGGACCGGGCACAGCGGAGCAGAACAGACCTCGCGGTCTATGCTCCAATAGTGTGCTGGAATCTCAAGCCGTCAAGCCAGCGGAGCGACCGCTCCGCCGGCAACCGAGAGTCTTGCCGCCACTGCTACGAGTCGCTAACATTCGCCGCTGACACCTTACTTTGCTAAGAGCTCCGATGGCGTCGACACAGTCGATGCGCGACGACGACGACGCGCGCCCTCTGCGCCACCATTCCTTTCTTTTTGATTTCGTTTGTACGCGAGCCATCGAACAGCACTCACGTACATGCGGATCACCGTGTCAATTGGCACAATGTGCTGGCAAAGATGGCCGGCAAAGTAAATGCGAGGAAATCTCAAGCCGTCAAGCCACGCCCCCCCCCCCCCCCCATTA